ATTACAACCAAGAAATGAAGCTCAAAGGACGGAGGAGGAGAGACAGACTTCCATAATGGTGGTCTCACATGAGAATGCACCATTCACCTGACCTCCCATGGTAACAGCATCAATTGTTGTTGTATTCAAGGACATCTGCCAATTCTCTGGCATTCCTCCCACTGAGAGATGGGGTATGTACTTTTCCCTGTGAAACTGGGTGAGCTTTTGAGCCTCTTCCAATGAAAAGATTTCACTATCAGCAGAAGTGACACTATGTGACTCTGAGGCCAGGGCATAAAAAATGTTTCTGTTCTGCCTCAGTCACTGGAACACTTGTATTTAGTCTTCGGCGGCCAGGGAAGCGGCCTAGTGCCCTGGGGCCGCCATATTGTAGGGAAGTTCAAGCTGGCCACAGAGACGGACATGGAGAGGCCCCGAGTCTATGACAGGGAAGAGGGACGCTGTGTCAGCGCCCACAGCCCCAGCCCTCACTGTTCAGCTCCAGCCACAAACTAACAACACGTGTATGAGGGACTCCAAATAAGAACTGCACACCAAAGCCCTTCCCAAATCCCTGACCCAAAAAAACCATGAGAGCTAATAAAATGACCTGTGTTGTTTTAAGCTGCAACATTTTAGGTGTTTGTTAGGCAGCATTAGGTAACTGGAACACGCAGAGTAAGTGATGCTCCTACAGAGTTGGTTTCCCACCTGCTAGCCCATTTCATCCTCACAACTGCACTGGGAAGAGCAGATTATAAATTCTCATTTTTGTAATGACGACACAGACTCTAAGAAAGTCGCTGAATTACCCCAGGTCATACGACTAGTGACTGACAAAGTAAAGACTCCCAGTCAGGAATTCGGACCCCAGTCCCAGTGACTTTTCTGCTGTAGCAGAGCTGATACTAGAACGGACCAGAACCAGAAGTGCAAGAAAAGTACACCTATCCAGACACCCGCAGGCCCAAGCAGATATCACAGAGGATGACTCTGCTGCAGAAGTTCCATAGCATGCAGAAACCAGTCTGTTGCTGAAACACCATTGCCCTGACAACAGAGAAAGGCAAGAATAGAACAGTTCTTTGAAGGCCACATAATTAAGAACGATAAGAGGGCACCAGGACTGGAGAGGGCCCATTGTTTCCATCACCAGATATCTCGGCTGACAGCCTGGGCATCATTACAGAAGACTTTTCAGAAATACTTGTCATACCCCAGAGAAGTTTCAGTGCAATGAGGGAGGATGACAACGTCCTCTGTGATGAGGTGCTGAGCTCTGACAGGGCGTCAGGACCGGCTTCGGCACTTGTAATCGCCAAGTGTCTCGATGAAGGGAGGCTTCTATTTTGACTTCGCTGCCTGACGTTTCTTGTTTGCTTCTATGGCTTCTTCACTAAAATCCTTAAAGATGCCAAGCAATGGAGACAGAGAAAGCATTACACTGGAATGGGTATGAAGTCAGCATCTCAAGGTCAAGGTGTCCCCAGAGGAGACCACCTCGAAATAAGCTGCCAGCAGATCAAGACTTTCAAATTTATCTGTGGTGGCTTGGAACAGGACCAGGGTTGCAACGCAGACAATTCTACCAAAACTAACTTCAAGGGTCTAGGAAATAACATTATCAAGACAGGCAAAGAGAAGAAAAACGAAGGAAACTTTAATTCTCAGGTGCAAAAGATAAAAAACTAAATTATGAGAAGAATCAACAATCCCCAGGTCTGAATTCCTATATTGCTACTTCATCTCTCAAAGAGAACGGGCATGAAGAGCACCCCATTGTTTGGGTTGTGGCTTCAGGCAGTGGCTTTCAAACAACCCCTACTATCTCAGAATCACTTGCACAGTTTTGTTTTTGTTTTTTTTTTTTAATGCTCATGCTCTTGCAACTTACACCCAGAGATTCTTGATGAGTAGGTCTAGGGTGGGTCCCATGAATATGCATTTTTGGTATGTAATTCTAATTGACCACCAAGTTTGGGCACAGCCCATGTGATAAAGAATGTTCACTGTAACCATGACATCTGTTCTAGAAGCAGCGCTCCAAACTGTTAGCAGAAAACATGGCTTCCTTGAATAAAAACCTACCTTTTGCAGGCTCCCTTGCAGCTAGGTGGCAGCTCCTGGTAGTCCTACAGGGAAGTTCTTCTGTCAGTGTGCCCCAAGAGGAACAGATTGTGATGTGTCTAACACGTGTTATGAAAGGGAGGCGGCGTGCCCCACTTTAACACCACGGCTTTCCTGTCAGCTGGAATGTGGAGACAGGACCAAAGCTGTGGCAGTCATCATGGACAAGATGACCTTGGGAACGCCAGGCAAGTAAGCTGAGTGAAACATCACCGAAGCCCGCGTCCCCAAAATGGACATCCCTATTGAAAAAGGCCTCCAGACTTTTCAAGCATAAGGAGAAGTAAGATGCAAAGCTACTGTCAGGTGGGATATTTTGATACTTCACCATGAAACCTAATGCCAATAACAACTCTTTTAGAGTTTGCCTCCGGCTCTAATATCTGTGGTCACCACTGACGTAGTACAAATCAGGCAGGAACTTGATTTTTCTTGGTAATTTACAAACGAGGAAACCGAGACATGGAAAAATGATATAACTTGTTGAGTGCCACGTAGGGCACTACGTGGGCATGGGGCCAGGATTTAGGTTCGGGTCTCCCAGCTTTAGGAGCGGTTTTGTCTACGCTACTCTGTGGGGCGCTCCGGGCAGAAGCCCTCTTTAGAAATAGGATGTGTCTCTCAGGAAACAGCACTGGGGAGACAGACCGTGGTAGGAAGAGAAAGTCCCCACCCCCACCTTCTCCCACTGCTCCACCTGTCTCCCCCACTCCTTTTTTCCTTTCTCATTTCCATTTTTTACCTCCTTGATTCTCAGTCAGTGCTTTGAGTCAGTCTGACTCATAATAACGTAAATACACTTCCTCCCCCTGGGCCGTCCCACCTAGTGGGCAGGGTTCTGTCGCCCACTCTGAACGGACACCAGGGCCATAACCAGAGAGCAGAGAACCTGCAAGAATGCCAGCAAGCCTTCTCCCAGGCAAGAAGGGAAGTTCCCCAAATTAGGGTCCTCCCAAGCCAGCCAGAAGCAGGGGAGTCTGTTAGCACTGCTGAAGATGTAAGAAAGAGACGTTTAGGACCTCAGGCCACTGGCGATGGTTGTGGAGGAATAAATGGATGGGACCTGGCATGTGGGCAGGGCTGAACCAAGGCACGGCATTTAACACCTCCTGACGTTTGAATTTCTCAATTTCTTGAGCATCTCTTTCTCCATGTCCCACCTCAACAGGAGAACAAGAAAGGGAGTTTTGTCTCTTTTTTTGTTCACTGATATTTCCCAGCACAGCCAACAGTGTGAGACACGTAACAGAGGCTCAGGGACTGTCTGCTGAACGAAAGAATGAATGATAATCCAGTGCAACCATTTCCCGGCCCAGGTTCTCTGGACTTCCAGACTGATCAACTCACCATGTCCTGCATTCTTTCTTGCTAGGACAATGCTTTACTTCACATTTTATATACTCACATGTCCATTCCTCACTGGACAGGCTCCATCCACCACTGTCCACCTCTCCACACCTCAACCAGGCTTGAGAAGCCATGAGAAATTCTACTAGACCCAGGGGGCTCTCCTCATTCACTGCTGACCTTCTCCAGAATGGAGTCTATGCTGCTTAGTAAGCCCCCCATTCCCTTGTGACAGACTATATAGTATCAGCAACATAATAACCACCCTCACATGAACAACATATTATAGTCCGCCAGGTGTTTTCAGGGAGGTTTGAAGTCCCACATTCTGACAATGTGCCCAGGAAATGGAATAAAGCAGCAGCAGGTAATGTAGATAACTAAAAATAAAAATTAACCATAATTGATGGGGCGCCTGGGTGGCTTAGTTGGTTGGGCGTCCAACTCCTGATTTAGGCTTGGGTCATGGTGTTGGCGTTGTGGGATCGAGCCCTGCCATCAGGCTCTGTGCTGAGTGTGGAGCCCACTTGGGCCCAACCCTCATCCCCACTGCTCGCATACATGCTCTCAAAAAAAAAAAAAAAAAAAAAAACTCAAAAAATACCATAATTGAGAACATACTATGTACCAGGCACTGTCTGTGGCTTTATATGACCCATCCCATCTACTTCTCATAAATCCTCCATGAAGCAGGAACTTCTTTTCTCAAATTTATTGATGAGATATCTGAAGTTCAGAGAGATTAGGTAACTTGCTCAAGCACCCACAGCAGAAAGCACCAGAACTGGGATATGAACTCAGGCTTGTCTGGGTCACATAAGGCTTTGCTCTTAACAGGGCTGCTCTAATTCCTGTCCTGGGGAACTGGAAGAAGCAGAATGTGAGCATGTGTGTGTGCGTGTGTGTATGTGTGCTCAGGGCAGACCTAAGCACGGATGTACAAATGGGAAGGATGACGATGGGAGGGAGAGGGAGTGGTAAGTTTTCCAGATGTCCAAAGAATTACTAACACAGAAAGCACACTCTGAGGCGGGGGGGCGGGGGGGGGGAGGGGGGCGCAGGATATGAAGCCACAAAAGTTAAATCACCGCCCCAGGGAGGCAACAAGTCTCTGGTTCTGAACTCCAGGAGCTGATTATAAAGTAAGAAGGAGACCAAGGCAACCACCCAACAGGGCCACAACTCCATGTGCGCCACTCACACTGTAGTATAAGTAAGAAGCATCCCCAGGATGGATGACAGCTAGGTGCAGAAATCCCGAGTGGGTCACAATGAACCGCCAAGAAACAAGCGGTAGTTTCCATCCCTTTGCTCCTCTTAACATCTCTGTGGTGGAGGCCCTCTTGCGCCCATTTCTCAGATGGGAAGACCAAGGCTCAGAGAGGCTAAAGGACTGGCCAGGCCACACACAGCAAGGTTAGGGGCGGTGCCGGATTCGCATTCGGGCCCGAGTCAAGAATGCCGGCCCTTTCCGGGTACCTGGCGCGGCTGCCCGGTGGCACCTGCGAGGGCGGAGGGCCAGGGGGCCTCCGGATGCTCTTTACCTCACACTTCTCCACGACCGGCTGCTGCCCGCACTCGGAGCTGTTGCCCGCCACGATGCCGGCGCGGAGGTTCTCGCTGTCCCCGGTTCCTTCCTCCACCGAGTAGGTCTTGGAGTGGTTGCCGTGGCGGTGCGCCGGGCCACGGCCCTGCGCCAGGCTGAGCTGTCGGCGCAGCGCGCGGTTCTCCTCCTCCACCTCGCGCACGCGCACCTCCAGGCTCTCGCGCTCCCGCTGGCCGGCGGCGGCGTACCGGGGGCTGTGCGGCTGCGACTCCGGCGGCGACAGGGACACCGGCTTCCCATCTGGGGGAGGAGGGCGGGGGAAAGACCAGGTTAGCCGGGGCGAAACACCCCGCGAGCCCCGCCCGACACCCCACGCATCTGTCTCTACGCGGGAGGCTCCTTTCACAATCCCACTGACCAGGGCAAGTGGGTGGCAACAGAGTGATAAATAAATGCATCCAGACTGACCTGGGGACAAAGCTGAGAACAGAAGGACTTAACTGCGGTGATAAAAATGCACATGCTGTTTAGAGAAGACAATCATAATGTTTCCCAATTAAATACACCGTCTTCCCTTCCCTACTTGGAACATTTCCAGGTGGACATTGTTGTTCTCCATAAAATAGGAATGTGAAGGAAGGACTAGCAGGTAGAGGGGAAAGAGGAAAAGGAGAAAGTGGAAGAGAGCAAAAAGGAGTAAAAAGAACAGACAATAATAATGACAAGGTTTATTTATTCCTTCCTATGGGAACTCCTATTCATCCTTCAAAACCCTGTTTCGGAAGCCTCAGCTCCCGGGGAAGCCTTCTTCAGTGTGCAGGCAAAATCTTCAGGCTGTTCTAACACATTTTATTTTTGTACATATCACTATTGAAAAACAAACTACCATACTGTACTTGGTCAATTGTTTTAGCAGATGTTTCCTGTGAAGGCTGGTAGTTCAATGAGAACAAAGCACAGGCCATACTTATCTTTGTGGTAACGTATCATACCATCTGATAGATGCCACAGGGTGGATACATGTGTCCAAGCCAAGAGTCAAATAATCAAGTGCAATAAAGGAGAAGAAAGGAGTGTAATTAACTTCAAGGTGTTCCCAGAAAAGCAGTCACTGTTGCCAGCAACACTCCATTTATATCATACACAGAAAGGATAGGAGGTCTCTCAACGTCACACAACCAGAACACAGTGGAGTCAGAATTTGTACCCAGGGCTGTCTTAGGCCTGAACCTGTACATGCTCCACTTAAACAGCTTCATAATCAGCCCTACAGAGAACTATGGATTTTTTTAAAATTTTATTAATGTAAAATCCCCATTTCCCAAAGATACTTAGCATGCCACACCTTGTATACAGGTGCACCAGGGACAGGACACAGCCAAAGCTGTCCCTCCTCTCTGCTCCTGTGCAGCCGAAATGCCGGGATCCTTCAAGGCGACCAAGCAAAAACGACATCTCTAGAAAATTATCCCCTCTTAGCTGCCTGCCCCAAAAATCTGCAATTTCTCTTTTTTCATACTTTGAGTTCTTCTTCTTCCTGCCCAGATCCCACTGAGCTTCCAAACCGTCCCAGAGCATCTCTGTGACTCACAAAACTTGAGGATCAAAGAAGGCAATGAATTACACCCCGTAGGCTTCACCTGTGCCGATGTACTGCCCCGGCCTCTGCCCAGAACCTTGTGACGTGTCTTGTGAGCCTTCACAAACATGACTCATTCTTCTCCCCCTTCATCGCCTTGGGGTTAAACGCCTGAGCTCCTGGCCCTCTCCTATTAATGTGGCATCTCGGACTCACTGAATTCCACTGCCCGGGACCACAGATCAAAGGCCGAGGCGGAGTGTGTGGGTATATGAAATCACAGGTTGATGAGGGCTGTATTGTCACTGAGCTGGCCAATCACAAGCTCCGACCCCGGCTTTTGAAACCTGTTTCCCTGTTTGGTAAAAACCAAATCAGTGCCACTGAGGATGGAAACAAACAGGCCACTAGCGGCAATTGTGTTTTGCTCAACTGCCATCGACCCTTCAAGCAAGGGTGGGAGGAGATGGGCATCCAGCTTCCGGCAGCGGGCAGAGTGACGCTTCTGTGTGGGGTCTGCCACAGATGTGGGCAGTGCTGGGTAGTTCACGCTGATAATGTCTTGGGTGATCACAGCCAAAGCAGGTAGCAACTGATGTCTCCATTACGGATAAGGAAACAGACTCGAAACATTTAAGCTTTGCCACTGTGGTGCAGTAGGACTGCAACTAAGGTCTCCATGACTGTAGGGGGCCCTGCTCCCGCTTTTATGCTCAGAGTTATGGCTACAGATGCTCTGAGGCCTGTGGGGTCTTCGTCCTTATGAAAAAAAACCCTGGGGACATTTGGGGAGGAATCCAGCAAGCTCTGGAAATACACCAGGGTCCCAGAAGCTCTGGAAAATTCACAACAAAGGGGGAACCAGAAATTTGTTCTTTTGGAGGGATTACTTAAATGCTCGGAGCTCTGACACAGGAGCAGAAATGCTAACCTCACAATCATGATGGGAGGTTTAAGATACGGAAATACAAAGCTCTGAGCACTCTGCCTCCCGGTGGGCAATAATTCCAATAAGAGGAGGTGGTATTGGGGTAGGATACATTGATGACATAAATTAGGGGGTCAAAGGCTGAACATTTTCTCAACACAGGGCTGTTCTCTAGTATATGGGAGAAAAGGGCCAACAACCGTTGGCTTATTTTTGACCCGTGGCATCTCTGAACCTTCTTCTCTTCAGCCTCAGGCAGGTCCAAGTTCATCGGGAGGCAAAGTGGAGGAGCAGACCACATCACTTCCTTTGACTCCTCCCCCGAGAGCCCCCCATTTTGCATGCCTATAATTCTTTGATTACGTGCTTATAAATAAAGGCATAATTATGTAGTCCCCAAGCGATTACAATTCCAGGGGTGGCAAAGGAGGCAATGCTAGATCAACAGTCTACTCTTCTTTAGACCCCAGATGGCTTTAACCAAACCTAGCTCTTAAAGGTCTGCAGGTGTCTTCCCCCCTTTAAAGCTCTATAGATTTGTCACCGAAGACAACACACAAAATAGTAAATGCCAGGTGTCAAGGAAGGGAACCGATGTTAGGAAAGGCAACACATATGCTGTGCCCTGCGCCTGGCATACAGGAAGTACTCAATCAACAGTGGACCTGGGATTTCTGGTTTGTTCTAAAGGTAGGCTATCCCAAGGCAGCCCCGCCTTCCTCTTCCTTGGCCAGGTTCCGCTTCTGGAAGGGGACGTCCGGGAGCTGTGCTGCAGGCCCTCTCCACTCTGACTTTCCCTGGCTCCATGTGCACGGGGACCCTGTGTCTCTACCCCGACTGACAGATCCCAGTGCTGCTCCACCACAAGAGGGGCCTGCTGCTCAGCCATGTTCACGGCGCATTCTAATTTCATTCATCCTGACTCCTGCTTTTGTTCCTGAACTACTCCTCTCTCTTGTCTCTTGACCTCTTTGTCTGGCTTGTTCTGGCCCTCCGGGTGGAGAGGGGTGGGGTTAGGACAGCGAAAGGCCAGCCTTTTTAGAGGTGGTCTGCACACCCCAGTGACGTCCTGTGGGCTCTTGTCTCTCCCAGGAGCGCTCCTTCTAACTTTTAAATGTCAATTTTTACCTTTCATACTTCCCTTGCTGCAGAGCAGTTTGGGGACTGTGATGGTTCATTTTATGTGTCAGCTTGACTGAGCCATGGGGTGCCCAGATATTTGGTCAAACAGTATTCTGGGTGTATTTGGAGGAGCTTAACATTTGAATCAGGACATTAAGCAGATTGCCCGCCCTCATGTGGGTGGGCCTCATCCAATCAGCTGAAGGCCTTGACAGAACAAAAGGGCTGACCTTCCCCTCAGTAAGAGACTGCCTCCTGCCTGACATTCTTCAAACTGGGATATTCTTTCTTTTCCTCCTGCCTTTGGATCTGAACTGAAACACTGGCTCTTCCTAGGTCTGGAGCCTGCCATCCTTTTGAATGGAACTATATCATCAGCTTTCCTGGGTCTCCAGCTTGCCAACTCACCCTGCAGATCCTGGGACTGGCCCATCTCGTAACTGCATGAGCCAATTATTTATAATAAATCTCTTTACACATGCACATGTGCACACGCACGCCCTCTTCCTCTATTTCTCTGGAGAACCCTGATGAATGCAGGGACCAAGAACAGTCCACAGATCATACTCTGAGTGGCACTGCCCATACCTAGGTTCTCGATCCCCAGGGCCTGGCACGCTGCCTGTACTTAACAAACATCTGAGGAAGGGATGAAGGGAAGGACTGACATCTAGAACTTAAAAAAAAAGGCATAAAATATTAGTCTAGCAAATCAACTACCAGTTACTTAAAAAGTGGCCTCATTATATACAAAAAAAGTAGCCTCATTATAATAGTAAATGCTGGGGAAGAGGGAGAGATAACCAAGAAAAGCAAGCAAATCAAGTAGAGTTGTAAGAGTCTGGAATTCAGAAGAAGAAGGAACTGAATTTGAATTATGGTTCCACTTAATAATAAACTTTGGCAAAAGACTTAACCTCTTGGGGCGCCTGGGTGGCTCAGTCGTTAACCGTCTGCCTTCGGCTCAGGTCATGATCCCAAGGTCCTGGGACTGAGTCCCACATCGGGCTCCTTGCTCAGCGAGGAGTCTGCCTCTTTCTCTGCCTGCCACTCTCCCTGCTTGTGTGTGCTCTCTCTCCCTCTCTCTCTGACACATAAATAAAATCTTAAAGATAAAAATAGCTCATTACTTTGTATCACTCACTGAGTAGTAGTCCACCTATGAATGTACTAGTCTACTGGCTATTAAAAAAAAAAGGGAGGGGTGGGGGGCACCTGGGTGGCTCAGTCGGTTAAGTGGCTGCCTTCGGCTCGGGTCATGATCCCAGGGTCCTGGGATCGAGCCCCACGTCTGGCTCCCTGCTCAGAGGAGAGCCTGCTTCTTCCTCTCCCTCTGCCTGCCACTGCGCCTACTTGTGCTTGCTATCTCTGTCAAATAAATAAATATCTTTAAAAAAAAAAAAAAGACATAACCTCTCTGCGACTCTGTGTTTCCATACATAAAAATGGTGTGTGTGTGTGTGTGTGTGTGTGTGTGTGTGTGTGTGTGTGTATTACCTAGCGTCAGGCCTCATTAGGGTAGATAAATAAATACTCCTTTTCCTCCTACCCTACTCCATGAAACCAGGAAGCAGGACATATAAAGAAATTAGCAGAAAAGATCCCTCATTTCTGAGCCCCTTTCCCTTGCTTCTCTATTACCTTTCTTCCAGGTTCTATTTTTCAGATACA